TGATTGCAATTAAGTGGGTTGGTGAGCGAGAGAGAGAACAAGGTGGGTAGGTGGGTGGGTGGGTGAATGGGTGAATGAGTGAATGAGTGAGTGAGTGAGTGAGTAAATGGGTGTGTATGTGTCTGCATACATAGTTCATTTTACATAGAGAAAAAATAAATCAATAAATAAAACGAATTTTAACTCAGTTTCAAATATCTTTCAGAGACCAAACTTTTCTACAAGACAAAATAGAAAGCAAAGAGAGACTCCAACCATTTTCTCATACTAATGAATATCATTACTACTTACCCATTATTGCCTTCAAAATATAAAGCTTTCTGGGCCACTAAGTCAATAATCCCTTTTGTGTTTCCCTCCAGACCTATTGGAAGCTGCATAAAGGCTGCATTGTGATTCAGTTTCGACCTGCAAAAGTAACATACTATGAATAATGAATAACTGCAGAACTACAGTATATAGAATTAGTGGTGAACTGCTCTAACACAAGTTCTGTTATCTTGTTATTAACAATCACAATATATTATCATTCCACATTAACCATATTCCTTTTTGCTTTAGGGGGCATTAAGTACCCAACTTATCAGTCCATGAAACTTTCGATGTGCACTTACTCAAAACTATGGTGAATATGGCATTTCTGTGCTAGATCAGTGTCATTGAACATCAGCCCAAAAAGATTTAATGTACATTTATTCAAAATTATCCTCTCTTCCTCTAACCTCCATCATTTGGAGAATTTGCTATTTTTACACTAGACACGTACATTTCCTAAAATGAATAAACAAATAAATAAATATTTTTAAAAATAACAAAACCTCCTCACTTCTTACGAAATACTCCTTTGTTCAAAATGCACGTTACTTATGAAGACAAATCTTACAAACCATTATGAAATTGTCTCACCTCATCTGATTCAAAACTCTGTATGGATTTGCCCCCATTCGATCCAGCTTGTTAATGAAGGCCAAGCAGGGCACCGAATACCTCTTCATCTGACGATTAACAGTTAAGGTCTGAGACTGCACACCTCCCACAGAACACAGGACCAGGACTGCACCATCCAGGACGCGTAGAGCACGTTCAACCTCTACAGTGAAGTCAACGTGGCCTGGAACGTGTTTGTAACGTGTAATATAATATTTGTCTGTCTAAAATCATCTAAAAATAGATTTTGATATCTTGATCCTCTTAAAGCTTATATGACCTGTAATATATTGGCACAGTGTGATATAATTCTTTGCATTTCATTTGGTTTGAAAGAACATTAAATATCAATATCTGATTAGTGATTAAATACCAATATCTGATTAGTGATATTTGTGAAGTGAGTGTTGAGGAGACACTGTTTCAATACATAACAGGACTAGATATTAATCTACAAATCAGACAAGATTTTAATATATGATACATTACATACATCAAACAAAGATTTGAAATGATGATGATGAAGTCTCCTTTTTCAATCTTCTTATAAATCCCCTTTAAGCACAATGAAATAAAAAAGCAGTACCATGCCAGGTGTATTAGAGACACCCAAGAAACAAAAATTAGGAAATGACATCATACCAGGCGTGTCAATGATGTTGATGTTATGGTTCTTCCACATGGTGAAGGTTGCAGCACTCTGGATAGTTATGCCGCGCTGTCGTTCAAGCTCCATGCTGTCCATCACCGCACCGACCCCATCCTTACCCCGAACCTGGAGGAATAAATCGAGAGAGAGAGAAAAAAAAATAGTTTTACTAACTTTCCCAAGAGATTTCTTGTTCTTTTTTTGTTGGGAATGGGGAAGGGGGACAAGAAACACGTTTGTAGCTTTTTAGACTGGAATAAATATCACTGATTACACAATTAATAGTATTTAGGTTTTAAACTGCCACATTTACAAATTTACAATATAGCTAAAATGTTTTTCTACTGATAAAATGTTTTCTAATATTGGCTGACTAAAAATATTAGAAATTGTAGCAATATATAAACTTCAGTCTTCTATATGCATTAATCTGAATAGCGGAAAAAAAAAAAAACATACCTCGTGCATCTCATCGATCCGACCAGTATAATATAAAATGCGTTCTGTCAGCGTCGTCTTTCCAGAGTCAATGTGCGCAGATATTCCAATGTTTCTGATTCTTTCCAAGGGTACACTGTCTGCAGATGTTGAGTAATATGCAGGTATCTGGAAGAAGGGAGAAAAATTATTTAATATCTTTTATATCTTTATCAAAAGTAAAAGGAATTAAATCACAGATGGTATTATGGTATTATTATATATGGTATTATTATATATCTTATTATTTAAGCTTCTGTTGCATCTTCGAGCTTCTGCATTAAGTATTATATGAAGTTGAGAGTTTTTAGATACTACACAAATTTCTTTATGATGATAACTATTACATTACATTACATCTATTGGCAAATATTTTACAGAAACAAGTATTAAAGTTGTTTAAATGCCCGAGTAACTGAATGATGTAACACTATAACATTACCTATTGAGATTTTCATGTAAAGTTGATATCCATAATTAATAAATAACTATACAATGCAAGTTATGTAATTAACATTAAATTTTGCCCAAAGCCAATAGTTTTTTCCCCTGACATTTGGCTGAATAAATATAATGTGATAGACTGAGTTTTGGGACAGAGTTTTTAAAACTAAATTTTGTATAAATTAATTTCCTGATAATTCTTTTAATGGGGATGTGCCTTACTACATGTCGCATCTAATGTGGTAGGAAATAAGAATACCAGTCCAGTAACAGATTTTTACAAAACACCAGCAATTATACCTTTCTGCATGTGCAAGTAGGTTTTGCTGGTTAAGTTCAGTTTTGCTATTTTTGCTAGTTAGTGCACGTTAGTTGTTATTTAAAATGGAGGTAAATATGCTTACAGTACATTGCACTGCCAGTAAGGAAAGCATGAAATTCAGTATGTGGACAATAAAATAAACATTAAATACTGTAAAAGTTTCTACAATAATCTAACCTTCTATGAAAAACCCATAATTTTTCTTTAAACTAAATTTTCTAAAAGTGGAAAACTGAACTACATTTTACTTATTAGTGAGAATTTTGGGTCCAGTTTTAAACTTTAAATTTCAGTGCACGTAAATTTAAGTCAAACTTGCCATTACAGAAAGAAGAAACTTGAAAAAATAACAGAAAAGAGTGAATTAAATAATATTTATGGAGTTGCATAATCGGTCATACATGTCAAGTTGAAATCCATGTTTCGTTTATTCTAACTTCTAGAAGACTAACAAAGCTTATAAATCATTAATATCCTATAAAATTAGACAACAAACTATCTAATACCTTTAGAAAATAAATTATATTGCTTTTCCTTATTACGAAAAAGACAAGTACATATAACCCTATTAACACACCTTCAAAAAACATTAATGATCAAACTCACTCTCTTTAGGATATTCCATGTTGACTGCAGCTTATTTAGCGTCACACTCGCCCTCGTGATGATCATTCTGAAGTATCTAATCTAAAAAAATGCGCCCTTTTCAGTCAAAAAATAGGGAAAATAAGTCCTTTTTTTCTCTTCCCGGCGAGTTGTCGTTCCTGCAGACGACACGCTGCCTCGGGGTCGTTAAGTAATCTGAAATTCTTGATGATATTATGTGATTTTATGTTTTATTGGATTACTTTATTACTTTATTTAGATTATTGTTAATTTATTGGAGTTATTTTGGGTAAAAGTTTGAAATGTATTCTGTATTTCTGATGATTACATATGTTTTCTGCTTGTTTCGTAATTAATAAAATCTCATTAACCACGACTCAGAAACATTTTTTCTTCTCCATAAATAATTTAGACAATTAAATATCGATTCAGAAGTAATTACTACTTCTTTTAGTGGTATTTGTAGTCATGACCTATTTTCCAAAGCCAAGCACGTGTGGAAGGTAAACAAACGTGAAGGAGAAGGAGGTCGTCGCCAACTTCCATCATTTTTCTTCGGAATTTGAGGTTTTAATCTGATATCTCGCTTATCTTAGGCGCTGAAACATTGTGTAAGTTATTTCTGATTAGTGAAGAATGTTGTGTATACTTTTTTTTGTTAATTCTTTTAAGGTCGGTGGTTGTGAAGAGTTGGATTCATGTTCGTGACAGATTTATTATATTTTTTTTTATTATATTACTATATTTTTATTATATTATTATATTTATTATATGTCTTCAGATTTCCTTGACAAGTGTAAGATACTGACCTTATTTGTATGCAAAATAGACACCCCCTACTTGTTTTCCCTTTCGAAAACAAAATTAATGGGTGTTCCCCTGAAAGTGAGGCATGCATAGGGTGGGTATCTACGATTTATGTATCTGTGTATTATTTTTTTTATTTATTTGTGTGCATGTGTGCTTTGGTGTGGATTGGCTAATGGTGTTCTGTAGAGTGTCAGAATGTGATGCAATTAGATGCAATGAGCTGGATTGTTTTTTTTTATGACATTTCAGAGGCATGATAATATGGCCCTCTCAAAGTCAGCATGAATGAGGCCTAGTTCACACTCATTCCTGGCGGAAAATGCTGAGTGTAGAGATATTGGAATTGTTGACCTAGTTGAAGAAAGCATAATCAAAAGCAGTAGGATGCGTCATTGTGAGATTATTAATTGTGTCTCACAAGTAATAGACTTGATCCAGTGTACTTCCACTGTATTTATAGTTTTGAAGTGTAACATTATCATGCTTTTTTATTCCTTATTCTCGTATTGGTTGAAAATGTGATTCTAAAAGTTTTAAATTACCATTACCATCTCAGACAAAGAAATTTCCTGTTACAGCAGTTCTTACATTGATGTCAGAAATCTCTTGTTATGACAGTACTTTCATGGTGGTCATAATGCTGTAGCTAGAGCGTTGAAGTTTCAAGAGAGTTTTGAACTTGAAATAAGAATTTTTTTAAATGATTTAAAATTGGTTATAAATGTGTATATGTGTGTATGTGTATGTGTATATATGTGTCTGTGTCTGTGTAGGTGTAGGTGTGAAGGTGTGAAGATGGGTGTAGGTGTAATGTAATTTGTTTGGTAGAATAACAAATAACAAAATAAGAATTCATATCCTCATTACAGATGATGGAGGTTAAAACCAAAAATGCAGCTGACGAAACAGCAGCAGAGAAGACTTCTGAAACAGTGAAAAAGTCAAGTCCCCTGAAGAGAAAAGCAGATGATGCAACCACAATGGAAGTCGAGGAGGTAACTAAATAACTCTCCTCTCCATCTCTCTTCTCCATCTCCTTCTCCATCTTCTCTCTCTTCTCCATCTCCTTCTCCATCTTCTCTCTCTTCTCCATCTCCTTCTCCATCTTCTCTCTCTTCTCCATCTACTTCTCCATCTTCTCTCTCTTCTCCATCTCCTTCTCCATCTTCTCTCTCTTCTTCATCTCCTTCTCCATCTTCTCTCTCTTCTCCATCTTCTCTCTCTTCTCCATCTCCTTCTCCATCTTCTCTCTCTTCTCCATCTCCTTCTCCATCTTCTCTCTCTTCTCCATCTCCTTCTCCATCTTCTCTCTCTTCTCCATCTCCTTCTCCATCTTCTCTCTCTTCTCCATCTCCTTCTCCATCTTCTCTCTCTTCTCCATCTCCTTCTCCATCTTCTCTCTCTTCTCCATCTTCTCTCTCTTCTCCATCTCCTTCTCCATCTCTTTCTCCATCTTCTCTCTCTTCTTCATCTCCTTCTCCATCTTCTCTCTCTTCTCCATCTCCTTCTCCATCTTCTCTCTCTTCTCCATCTCCTTCTCCATCTTCTCTCTCTTCTCCATCTCTCTCTTCTCCATCTTCTCTCTCTTCTCCATCTTCTCTCTCTTCTCCATCTTCTCTCTCTTCTCCATCTCCTTCTCCATCTTCTCTCTCTTCTCCATCTCCTTCTCCATCTTCTCTCTCTTCTCCATCTCCTTCTCCATCTTCTCTCTCTTCTCCATCTCCTTCTCCATCTTCTCTCTCTTCTCCATCTCCTTCTCCATCTTCTCTCTCTTCTCCATCTCCTTCTCCATCTTCTCTCTCTTCTCCATCTCCTTCTCCATCTTCTCTCTCTTCTCCATCTCCTTCTCCATCTTCTCTCTCTTCTCCATCTCCTTCTCCATCTTCTCTCTCTTCTCCATCTCCTTCTCCATCTTCTCTCTCTTCTCCATCTCCTTCTCCATCTTCTCTCTCTTCTCCATCTCCTTCTCCATCTTCTCTCTCTTCTCCATCTCCTTCTCCATCTTCTCTCTCTTCTCCATCTCCTTCTCCATCTTCTCTCTCTTCTCCATCTCCTTCTCCATCTTCTCTCTCTTCTCCATCTCCTTCTCCATCTTCTCTCTCTTCTCCATCTCCTTCTCCATCTTCTCTCTCTTCTCCATCTCCTTCTCCATCTTCTCTCTCTTCTCCATCTCCTTCTCCATCTTCTCTCTCTTCTCCATCTCCTTCTCCATCTTCTCTCTCTTCTCCATCTCCTTCTCCATCTTCTCTCTCTTCTCCATCTCCTTCTCCATCTTCTCTCTCTTCTCCATCTCCTTCTCCATCTTCTCTCTCTTCTCCATCTCCTTCTCATCTTCCTTTTTTTCTTCTTTTTATTTTTTCAATGCTGAGATTGATTCAGTATTTTGATTTAAAAATTATGGCTATTAGCTTTTTTTAGTTCATTATTCAGCTTCCATGTCACAGGACAGTCTTCTACTCAGAAATAGATGAATCCATTTGGGAGGCATTTTAAGATGCTTTGGTTCAGTGGTGTAATGAGCATGATGCCAAAAATGGTGCCAATTTTTATGTGCCAGAGCCTAGCTTGGACCAGACATCATGCACAACCCAGGACTTATAGGAGCACCTGGTTGCATTATGACAGAATCAGGGAAATGAACCATAGAGTGAATGTTTTGTGAAAAAAAAAAATGATAAGCATGGGAACCCTGAAAAGGTAGTTCTACTGATGAGTCAGCTACGAAGGTTAGGCAGGAATAGTTACTGGAGTGGCATTTTAGCGTTGACCATCAGCTGCATTTCCATAGATTACTATAAATTGGTCTCAGTATCAAGTTTTTGATGACATAGGGAACAAAGTATAGTGATTCAACATTTCAGGGGTCCAGATAAAAAGGGTTTAAGACTCATTAATCTTATGAATAGGTTTGTTAGTGTTTTATGTAGTATTTCTAATGATGGACTTATGATTATTTTTATAACCATTTGTTTATCATTACCATTATATATATATTGATTTATTTATTTTACTGTTTTGTATTGTGACCCAATGTATTTAAGAAAGAACTCAAATGACATTTTGCCAACAGGAAGGAGAAACAAAGAAGCCCCATTTCCCCCCAGCCAAGAAGGAGAAGCTTGTCGGTGCAGAAATGAGAAGAGTCTTCATCCCTCCCAACAGGCAAGTGCTGTTTTTTGCATTGTAGTAGGGATATGAATAAATTTAAATAACTTCATAGAATGGCAGTTGATGTATTTCATTTTTATATCTGTGTCAGGGTTATAATACAGATAACAGAAGTGCAGTATTGAAGTATATCCCTTGCTTCCTTTGCTCTTTGCAGTTATTTATTTTTATGCATATACTGTAGTTTCTTTGTTTGTCACAGTGAACTTGGTTTGCCTTGTGTAGATTTGTTATGGATTTCTTAATCTTTATTATCTTCATCTCCTCTTCCTTCATCTCATCTTCCTTCATTTTCTCCTCCTCCCTCTTCCTCCTCCCTCCTCCTCCTCCTTTGGTTTAAGAAAAGCAAATTGTTTACATATACTAAGAAACCTACTCCTTTTTCTTTTACAGATACACTCCCCTGAAGGACAGTTGGACAAAAATATATTCACCTCTCGTAGAGCACCTGAAACTTCAAGTTCGCTTCAACTTAAAGAATAGAAATGTTGAACTTCGTGTAAGTATGAAAGCAGGTTTCTAGTTTGTGTGCATTTCTAAAAGTGTTTGTACGTATGAAAGAAATGTACATGGAAATTATCTCATTGACAGATATATGTACACACACATTTTAATGCTAGAACTGTACACCTCCTTCCAATAATTATCATTGTTACATCTAGGTCTCACAGATCATAACAAGAAAAAAATAAAATAAAAATTATTGCTGTTACAGTATAACAACCAGATCTGCAGACGAGGATATGAAAAATAAGTAACAATAGGGATTTTGAATTCAGGGCAGACAGACTCACTAATTCAGGTCTCAGTGAACCAACTACAATTTTGTCATAATACTCGAATGCAAAGAGAAACTTGGAAACCAGCATGCCCATTCTTCTCACTGGCATCTAAACCTAGAAAGCTGTTGAGAAAGACACACCTAAAAGTTGCTACAACAAAAGATGGCACAGAAATGCCACTCTCAGACCCAGTTGTACTGGCCAAGGGTGTAAAGTGTAGTCCTACTTACCCAATGTGGAGAGGCAAATAAGAGGCATAGAGGGTAGTCACTCATCTAAGCTTAAAGCCCAGATATTTTGTGATTTGCTATGATGCAACCAGAGCCAATGGGTTAAGTGGCTATTTGTAAGGTCATCCATGATTTCAGTCATTGTTTGTCGTGCAACCCAGCTCCCAGTGGCTTTACCTTAAAAAGTCACCTATCAGGGTTGGTATCTCTCTATGAGGATGCATATCACATAGCCTTTCATGTCATGAAGAAAGTAGTAAGACCACATAGTGTATTGATAACATCATATGCTGAGGCTGAAAAGTTAAACGGCAACTACAAGTTGACACCCATCCACAATCGGTTAATATGTTGCAGCCATAATCCTAACATACATATTTACACCTTGCATGTTACAGCCATAATTCTAACATACATATTTACACCTTGCATGTTACAGCAACAATCCGAACACTTTTCATAATCAGCCTTTATAATAGTTATAATACAAGTACCCTTCAATTTCAGACGGGCCCAGAAACAGATGATCCAAACAGCCTTCAGAAGGCAGCTGACTTTATACAGGCATTTGTTTACGGTTTTGATGTCAATGACTGCCTGGCACTTGTGCGTTTAGATGACCTTTACCTCGAAACATTTGATATTAAAGATGGTAAGTGTGGAGATGTTGAGAGTGCATTTTCACATTTAGATTTGTGGTTTAATGGAATGATAAGGAGTTTTGAATACTTAGAATTAGATGACTATAAGGAGGTTAATAGATAATAGGCTAAGTCTTAAAATTTAGGTAAATTGGGCCACAAAGTTCTAAGCCATGAATTATGAATAAATATCACAGAAAGCAAATTAATGCAGTCTTTATTATAATCAGTTGTCATTGAATATGGTTTAATGCATTCTTTTTTCCTCTCCCTCCTTTATCTTATAGTAAAACTGAGTCTGCAAGGTGACCATCTCTCAAGAGCAATTGGCAGAGTAGCAGGCAAAGGGGGCAAAACACGATTCACAATTGAGAACGCAACACGCACTCGTATTATTCTGGCCGACTCAAGGGTGCACATCTTGGGATCTTATCAGAATATTCAGATTGCTAGGAGAGCTATCTGCAACCTGATTCTTGGTAAGTCCTTTTCTGCTGCTTCTTTTTAACTCTTTAGCCGATTACTGCCAGGCCACACATATAGCCATCATAATAAACTGCTTGATCTGCTGGGTATGGCTATACGTGTGGCAACCTGCTAGAGCGCGGTGAGAGGGAAGTTCCACTCCAAATGGCAGGACAGTTTCCAGAAATCACCTGAGTCTTTGATGCTGAGAGATTTCTAAGGGTTAATAAAAATTTTATTTCTCATTTTCCTTTATGCTTTCTGCATTTCCATAGATTACTAATAAATTGGTCTCAGTAATCAAGTTTTTGATGACATAGGGAACAAAGTATAGTGATTCAACATTTCAGGGGTCCAGATAAAAAGGGTTTTAAGACTCATTAATCTTATGAATAGGGTTTGTTAGTGTTTGAATGTAGTATTTCTAATGATGGACTTATGATTATTTTTATAACCATTTGTTTATCATTACCATTATATATATATATTTATTTATTTATTTTACTGTTTTGTATTGTGACCCAATGTATTTAAGAAAGAATTCAAATGACATTTTGCCAACAGGAAGGAGAAACAAGGAAGCCCCATTTCCCCCCAGCCAAGAAGGAGAAGCTCGTCGGTGCAGAAATGAGAAGAGTCTTCATCCCTCCCAACAGGCAAGTTCTGTTTTTTGCATTGTAGTAGGTATATGTACAAGCTTAAATAACTTCATAGAATAGTAGTTGATGTATTGCATTTTTATATCTGTGTTAGGGTTGTAATACAGATATCTTAAACTGAGTCTGCAAGGTGACCATCTCTCAAGAGCAATTGGCAGAGTAGCAGGCAAAGGGGGCAAAACACGATTCACAATTGAGAACGCAACACGCACTCGTATTATTCTGGCCGACTCAAGGGTGCACATCTTGGGATCTTATCAGAATATTCAGATTGCTAGGAGAGCTATCTGCAACCTGATTCTGGGTAAGTCCTTTTCTGCTGCTTCTTTTTAACTCTTTAGCCGATTACTGCCAGGCCACACATATAGCCATCATAATAAACTGCTTGATCTGCTGGGTATGGCTATACGTGTGGCGACATGCTAGAGCGCGGTGAGAGGGAAGTTCCGCTCCAAATGGCAGGACAGTTTCCAGAAATCACCGGAGTCTATGATGCTGAGAGATTTCTAAGTGTTAAAAAAAATTTATTTCTCATTTTCCTTTATGTTTTCTGCTTCTTGTGTGTATTTTTATTTTGCAAATATGATTACCTTAAGCACTGTAAGAACAACACTGAAATTATGCTGACAGTATTTCATTTAGGTATTACTGTAGTGATTTAACAGTGACATTTCTTGAGGTCTTGTATAATTTTCTACCTTTAAACTAATTTGGTTTGCCTTTTTTCTTCCAGGGAGTCCTCCTTCCAAAGTTTATGGCAACCTGAAAGCATTTGCGGAAAAAGCACGAGATCGGTTTTGAGTGTGTTCTTCATATAGATTAAGTGGATGTGTGTGTGCGTGAAGATCATTATGTTGCGTATGGCATTACATGAATATTTTGTTCATGTTTGCATTTGTCCTTTTCACAGAGGAAAGCTTACACATATTCCCATGTGGTTGTTATTGTTAAGCATCCCAATGTGATATTTCGTAAGAGATACTTTATATATACTGAAAGTATTAAATGTAGAATGTTCCTACGTGTTTCTTTTTTTCCCCCATTGTCATCAATTGTGATGTAATCTCTGGAAGCAGAAGGAAAGAAATTTATTAGTAAAAAGAGAAAGCTACTGAACTTAAACTCTCAGAATAACATGTAATCATATTTGAATTAATGAACAAAATTAGTAGCAGAATGAATTTTTACATTTATCTTTACTGTAAAAAAAAAAAATATTTGAAGAGTGCGGGTGGGTGAGTGAGTATGAGTATAAGCAAAAAATATACAAATACATAGTTAAAGGCCACTGCCAGTACTTTAAGTCCTTAAAGTTATCTTCCACTAATAAATGCTCTACATCTGAAGGTTTGGACAGAACAGAGGTTCCTGGACACTGCAACTTGACAGTAAGCAAAGTGGGGCTTCAGCAAAGGTACACACACAAAATTAGGTGCTTAGGGATGAAGCTCCAGGTAAGATTTTTTTTGGGGGGTGTTCATAAGACAATGTCTGTGGACTCTTAGAAGTAGTTAATGGTTAAAACAAGTACATGTGCTGGACATCATAGGTCATATAGCACTTTGGTAAAAAGGGCCAAAATTGAGTTAATGATTATGTTAAAATATCAAAGGTTGTAGAGCACTGTAGGATAGTATGATAATGATAAGGGTAAAGAGGGAAGAGCAAATGGAGCATGGCAGGGATTTGTAAAATGGGAAGAGATTAAGGGTACAGGGCAATTAGATCAAATGAAGAGTATCTGAATGTCTACGGAAGGATGAGCAATACTTAATGTGGAAAACTACAGAGCCATCATAATATAGTCATGGATAATGTGGGTAGAAATGGTAGTTGAAGAAGTAGGAGAAGAATCCAGAGAAGGAGATAGGGAAAAAGGGAAGGTGTTGAAATATCAGGGAGAATGTCAGGAGGGAAGGGATCTGGAAAAAGACATTGCCGAGACATCACATGAGCATTCAGCAGTAAGAATAATGGAGAAGGAGAGGATAGGGTGTTTTGGGGTGAATGGGAGGAAGAGAGGTATGGGGAACTCGAGGAGGAGGATGGATATCAGCAAATACTTTGAATGTTGAGCAAATAGGAATAGGCATTGGAGGGTGGAAGGACTGGAGCATTCTCTTGGGTAAAATTTAAGAAATTTTGGATGTCTTCAAGGGCTTCTGGAAGGGAGTTGGGTGGGGAGTCTGAGAAATAAAGGTTTCCTTGGGGTTGGGAAAACGGAGATCAAATTTAGATAGCTAGTCGATGAAGGGACAAACATTAATGTCCCTAATAAGGCTAAGAAATATTCATTATTAGCCATGGTGAGCCTGAAATAAATGGGGAAAGAAACAATCTACCCCTCAGACTCCCCATATGGGGTACGGGCTAGGCAATTAACCATGTGAATACTGTGCCCATGGCTCCCAGGGGCCATTCAGCACTCACACAAAGCCAGACTTGGCTCTCACACCTTAGGAAGTGGACAGAAGAAAGGGATGAAGAAGAGAAGGAAAAGGAAAGGGAGAAGAAAAGACCATGTAAAATCAGTTGAGGTGAGGACTGAGGTCTAAGGTAAGGGTAATCCCCTACACTGAGCCTCAGTCTCTTGTCTCCTAAGACCCCCCATGACAACAAGAAGCAAGGGGTTGTAGGGAGTCCTTTGCATCAGGCTTGCAGATTCCAGTGTTGAGGTGAAGGGAGGTGTAAGCAGGTTCTAGATTTGCCTTTGGTAGCTACTCTGAAATCAGTTCATAGAGTTTTCTAGCAGTTTGAAGACATATGCACATTCACATCTTTGGAGAGAATAATTGAGCAATGGGTACTATATTATTATAGTTTGAAAGGAAATTAAATGATCCTGTAAAATAAAGTTTTTAATACTTTCTTACAATACAGAATGGCTAAATAATCAAAACATAAATAGCCACTGCACCAATAAGATGATGTAAACAAAAGAACATATCTAGTATTACTAACAATAAATTATCTCAATATGAGAGAAACTTAATACACTCCTACATTCTTGCCTTTCCTTCAACAACATAATCTATTCACTCATAAACAATACAGGATGAACTTTTTAGTAGTAATTTGTGATCTATTGTGATTCTGAGTCAGTGGCTCCTTGGGACATAAAGGTGTCTTTAACTTTTCTGTCTTTAATAACAAAAAGCCTCACAATCTACTTCTCTTTACCAACAGCAATAAGGAACCTCACATGTCATTATCTAACATTCAGTATCTCGCCTTCTACTCGTGATTCATAATCTTGTATGAGGGGTAACTCTCCTTTCCCTAAACTTTACTTTCCTTCTGCAAAAGGGTGGTTAATTTTGACTACTATTGTTATCCCTTACCTATAACATTCATCCTGTACTACATCATACATTTGCATATATTTCAGCCTCAACTTAAGGCAAATAAAATATACATTTCAATACAATGTAACAAAGTGAAACAGTAACATTATGGAATTTGACCATAATTATTAAACAAATTGAGCATGTGATTAAACTTAACAAAAAAAAAAAAAGAAGAAACTTATAAAATAATCATCCACGGAAAATAGTTTGTTTCTTACATTATGTATTCTTTGACAACTCCTCTATTACCAATAATGAATTCATATTCCAGTGAATATATTGTCCTCTGCAACAGAGTTTAAAGGAGGAAAACACTTTTTGTGATTGATTCTATTATACATATCTAAGAATTACAGGCACTTCACTAAGCATTACACCACAATAACCTTATCAATACACAACCCACAAATACTGCTGTGTTAAGAGATGTAATTAAATATCCAGGATAATGTGATTGTCCGCATGCAAGGCTACAAAACACTAACCGACATATTTTGAGCTGCGAACATTGTGATTTTATCGCAGATGTTAATTTCGTCTTTTGTTTATATTTCAAAGTGATGTGAGCAAACTTTTTTTTCATCATGAGATACAACACATAAGAACAATTTTGTCAATTTGTTGAGAGCTGTGGAATGTTTACGAGCTGGAGGTAACAAGGAAATTCCATCATGGAAATGAGCATCTGCAATATATTCATACATCAAATAATATGTGCAGTGCAAAAGCCTCAAGTTTTTATTACACAACCTATAATAATGCACCAGCATGCTCTCAATTACACTCTATCCATTAACTGGGAAAGTTCTATAATATGGTTTTACGCCTGAAATCTCCTGCTCAGGGATATGGCCATGCCCTTGGGGGACGTCCCAGGAAAAACTGAGATTATTACACTGGAAATCTCTTTCTCCATTAAAAAAAAAAAAGAAGAAACTTATAAAATAATCATCCACGGAAAATAGTTTGTTTCTTACATTATGTATTCTTTGACAACTCCTCTATTACCAATAATGAATTCATATTCCAGTGAATATATTGTCCTCTGCAACAGAGTTTAAAGGAGGAAAACACTTTTTGTGATTGATTCTATTATACATATCTAAGAATTACAGGCACTTCACTAAGCATTACACCACAATAACCTTATCAATACACAACCCACAAATACTGCTGTGTTAAGAGATGTAATTAAATATCCAGGATAATGTGATTGTCCGCATGCAAGGCTACAAAACACTAACCGACATATTTTGAGCTGCGAACATTGTGATTTTATCGCAGATGTTAATTTCGTCTTTTGTTTATATTTCAAAGTGATGTGAGCAAACTTTTTTTTCATCATGAGATACAACACATAAGAACAATTTTGTCAATTTGTTGAGAGCTGTGGAATGTTTACGAGCTGGAGGTAACTAGGAAATTCCATCATGGAAATGAGCATCTGCAATATATTCATACATCAAATAATATGTGCAGTGCAAAAGCCTCAAGTTTTTATTACACAACCTATAATAATGCACCAGCATGCTCTCAATTACACTCTATCCATTAACTGGGAAAGTTCTATAATATGGTTTTACGCCTGAAATCTCCTGCTCAGGGATATGGCCATGCCCTTGGGGGACGTCCCAGGAAAAACTGAGATTATTACACTGGAAATCTCTTTCTCCATTAAAAAAAAGAAAAAAAAAATCACAATTTCTGTGCCTTGTTATGTTCTATAGGTGTGCAATTTCTACCACAGTGAGGCCAGCAAGGCAAATTGACATGCAATATCCACCAAAATACTTCAAAAGGTCAGGTTTCATTATCCTAAAAAACATGAAGAGGAGTTTGTTTAAATACTTTCAAGACCACCATTAAACACAAACAAACAAAAAAAGGTCATGCTAATACCACACATGATGTTCAATGAAATTACAGCTTTTGTGTTTACAAAGACAATTTCAACATTTGCAGAGAGAATCTAGTACATATCACAGAGTATGACAAGGCATACAAGGGTAGTCTGCAATTTACTGAAGAACTGCAACATTATGACCATCTGTTTCATCACAGAACATGACACTGAAAACATCATTGAAGAATTCAGGATAATATTCACAAGCCCTTTTACAATCTGAGTTGAAATTGACTTCCAGAATTAATGGCTGCATGGTTTTCTGACCTGTAAAATAAAATATGTAATTAGAAAGGTTAAACATACTCAAAGATGAAGAGAAGACACAAAAAAGTAAGACTTTTAGGCTCTTAATCAGAAAATGTATAAATATCAGATTTCATGATATTTTTTCAGCCATCCTAAGCCTGGCAATTACCTATAACTTAGAAAACTTTGACAAACCATTACAAGCACTTTTATACGGCACTTTCTTACATATTAGAATTACCTATCTTACCTATATCATCATTACACTCACCTTTAATGTAAAAATTTCAACAAACATCTATCACATGTTAACAATTTGAACATTTTACTTTGCTGTGTTATCACCCAAAGGGCAAAACCAGGATTTTAAAAGGGGTGGAAATAAGTTAGGTTTCCAGAGGTTTTTATAAAAGATGCAACACTTTTTTATGCCAATAACTTAGTGCTGTTTGCCAGTGAATTTATAAAGTTATTGGTGAACTCTCCAACACTGAATACTAAATTAACAATTCACACATAATGTCAGTATATAATCCAATATTTAACTCTCTCTAAGTCATTTCTTCAACATTAAGTAGTAACCTAATAACTGGGGGGGGGGGGGGGGGGTTGTACAGTCTATTATAGTTTCTTGTGAATTTAGTTGCAAACACATGGCTCCACAAGTGCTCAGCCATCAAGGAGTCAGTTAGCAGGCTCTAGTGATTACATCCTGACTTCTTTTTTTAATACTATTTTCAGTTTTTATTTTCTAATACTATTAATATGAATACTCTTATTACTATTACTGATATTACCATACAGTTATTAAAATACTAACAACAACAACAATAATAAAACAGTAAAAAGATAATAATTTGAAATCAAGGAAAAGGGTAAGGAGGTGGGACAGGTAGGACCAATATTTGACCCCTTAGTGACTAGTATAACAAAATTCTAGGGTTGAGATAGAAGGAACAATGTTGAAATGTGCCAATTTTGAGATCAGCCTATCACCAAATTGGAATTTTTTGGTACTGTAAGTGTTATAAAGCCTAATGCCATCAGTGCATTAGGGATGCCACAAGAGCATTGCTTTGAAATTCAATTAAGTGAAAATCACATATCCTAACGTGTGACAATATACAGGCAATACATTTTACAGTCACAGAAAGAAAGAAAGAAAAAAATTGATGTGAATAGATGATAGACTTATGGTTCTCATGCTGGAAATTCTCAAACTGTAGCATTCCAAAAACCATCATCCTACACTTTTACTTTTCTGTCCTGTACATGCCCCTGGATATCAATTCCAGCAGCAAATATACACAGGTTATTTCCTGGTGCCACTGTCTTTTATCTATTTATCTATTTTTTTAAAATATAATCCACCCTAATTTTCCTTTCTTCAAACTCATGCCCCCCCTCCCAAATGAAGAAGAATATGAAAAAAATAAGGACGAAAAAGGAAAAAAAAAAGAAAACAAAAGAAAAAGAAAAACAAAAACAAAAGAAAAAAAAGTTATTGGAAGACTTACCATCCTTCTCCACCCACTCCAGCATGATGTCAAACCCATAGAACCCTTTGCACTGAGCGTTCTGGGGGATGCCGCCGGGAGCATCTTGGGAGGTGGCTGCCTTGAAGACCTGTGAATTATTCATTAGGTAAGAAAAAATAGGGTATTAAAAAAAAAGAAAGAAAAAAAAAGGCAACTTTGCTATATCTCGTAAAAACAAAAAAAGTGGCTTTGCTACATCTTGTAAAAACAACATAAATCAGACTAGCTTTTGATCAATTAAAACTTTAGAATTCCAAAATCAAGATGGGGAAAAAAAAGAGAAGTTAATTTGTAATCTGTTACTACTTTACTGTCAAGAAACATTCAGCTTGTAAGTAATTAATCAAATATTATCATATAACAGTAATTCACATCCAGTATGGGTTTTAAATCATGAATGAACTCATAAACATTAGAGAAATTTACCTGGAGAAATATGTCAAACAATTTTTTCTCTGTAATTTTCCATGGATGTTCCGGATTCTGAGCATTAAATTTGGCGATGAAGTCGTGACAGTACATCTAGGCATGCAAAGAATAAAAAAACAAATCAATCAAATACTTTTATACCTTTATGAAATTATATACATTATCTTCAATAAATTTATTCATAGTATAGATAAAAAACACGCACACTCACACACACTCATACTCACTCACTCTCACATACGCACTCACTCATTCTCTCTCACATGCGCACACTTACTCATTCTCTCTCACATGTGCACACTTACTCATTCTCTCTCACAAGTGCACACTTACTCATTCTCTCTCACATGCGCACACTTACTCATTCTCTCTCACATGTGCACACTTACTCATTCTCTCTCACATGTGCACACTTACTCATTCTCTCTCACATGTGCACACTTACTCATTCTCTCTCACATGTGCACACTTACTCATTCTCTCTCACATGTGCACACTTACTCATTCTCTCTCACATGTGCACACTTACTCATTCTCTCTCACATGTGCACACTCACTCATTCTCTCTCACATGTGCACACTTACTCATTCTCTCTCACATGTGCACACTCACTCATAATTACCTGCAGGAGATATGCATCATTATAATTGTTAACTGTAAAATGCTTCTGAGGATCATCCAACCCATTCAATTCAAACTGCTTGTTGGCAAATCTAATCCAGAAGCGTTTGTACACAGCAACCTGGAAGGAGTAGAAAGTTTATTAAGATGATCTTAAATGGAATAGTAGTGGTTGACAATCAGTTACCCAGTTAAATGCACTTTGTAACAAATATTTTTCACTACTGCTTGCTGGTGTAGTCTGCTTTTGTACATTGCTATAATAACCAGCTGAAATTTAGCACCAGCCATGGCTCACGTGAATTCAGGAAAGAACAAATATGAATGAAGAAGTATCTCCTTCAACATCATTATACAGACCTGGAGCATCGAGTGAGTGGAGGAGAAAGCAATGAAGTAAATGAGAAAGATCTAGTTGATAGAATCATTTATTAACAGAATAATTGAGTTTTGTAGCGAAATGAATAATTGAGTTTTGTAGCGAACTGCTTAACCTATTGCCACCGGGGAAAATGAACAAAAAATGGGGAAAATTCTGTACTCATTTTTTATATTTTTGTGATATATCTCTGCCCACAGATGGCTCTGCTAGTCTTGATTTCACCTTTCCTCGAATTGGTGGGAAAAAACGTATTCTTACTAGTGCTATAAATATAGATGGTGTTATTTTTAACAGCAAATTTGGATAACGTTAAATATTTTCGTAAATCGATGAAAAGAGTGAACGGGCGAGACAGGCTGTACTCGTAATTGGCTCATTGGATACTTAGTACAAGTGTAGCCATCTATGTGTAAAAACAATCGAACAAGTCGACTCACAGTGGGCATGGTATGTACGTACATGCTATCCCCGGCGGCAATGGGTTAATTACAGTGGAGTGAAAGTGCCAGGTAGGGGCAACATGCACATGGGGGAGCCAGGTGAACCTGAGGCGGGGTAGGACTGCAGTGATCACAAGGGAAAGGGGCAAGGTGAGGCACTGCAAGGAGTGGCCACACATGTGACATAATCCCCAGCCTCTTGCTTTCTCTCCTTTTTTTCTCTATGAATTTTGTTAGATATTTTTATCTTTGATGCATTTACAATGCTGCCAAATGCTTGCCCAATTCTAGGAGGTGGGCTCGGGAAGAAGAGGCAACTGGGGTCAGTATTACACCAGGCCCACTGTCTCAGGCATGGGCCCATGACATTCCTGTGCTTGTCATGGTTTTAATCAACATTTAAAGTTTTATTTTATGATACAGGTAGTGACCTCTGCTGAATTTCAAATGCACTAGGCCTTGTTTAATGTAACCGATTTTCCAACAGCAATAATTATTAGGTATCCAGCACCCTCCACATCCCAACAACGCTAGAAAATTTATTGTCAACCTGTAATATACTATCTATAAACTATAACACTATCAGACCTCATATCTCCAATTAAAACTTGAAACCTATTAACCCATTGCCGCCGGGGAAAATGAACAAAAAATGGGGGAAATGCAGTATTCATTTTTTATATTTTTGTGAAATATTTCTGTCCATAGATGGCTCTGCTAGTCCTGATTTCACCTTTCCTTGAATTGGCGGGAAAAAACGTATTCTTACTAGTGCTATAAATTTAGATGGTGTTATTTTTAACAGCAAATTAGGATAACGTTAAATATTTTCGTAACTCGATGAAAAGGGTGAACGGGCAAGACAGGTAGTACTCGTAATTGGCTCATTGGATACTTAGTTGGATACTTAGTACAAGTGTAGCCATCTATGTGTAAAAACAATCGAACAAGTCGACTCACAGTGGGCATGGCATGTACGTACATGCCATCCCCGGCGGCAATGGGTTAAAATGCAAAACAAACACACAAAAAAAAATCCTATTAACACTTTCCTATTACAGCACTTTCAGTCATGTTCTAAACAGGAAGATCTGTGATTAGGGTGTCAGAATTGCTAATAATAGCCAAAGACTGGCAAGAAATGTATAATTAATAATTTAAAAGAGAACATGTTTGGTTCACATGACTTGGTTACTTGTCATCAAGCACTTGGGGCTGATTTGCCATGGCATGATTAAATCTCATTCTTCCAGTCAATATGTCTCCTCACATATAAGTCTTCTTGTTTCATCTCCCAATCTTTCTCATCAATCCTGAAACAAACCTTCTAGGGAAAAAATTTACCTTCAATGGTTTCACATTTAGCAGCATCACAATGTAGCGGACATCAAACTTGACATCACAGTTGATGTCATCTCTGTGGAACAGGACTGGGTTTGATATGTACTTCTGAGCAATCTGTAAAAAGAAAAGTGGGAAAATTTATAAAAAAGGTCTTCCATAAGCTTGGTGTACCTGAAGAATTAGTAGAAATTGGGATAACTTACATGCTTCTGATGATCAAATGCTGTGAATATCAATAACTGCCATAAAGCAAGGCAAACAGCGATTAGATTTATAATCTGAAGGTAACCTTACAAGGAAATGCAAATCAAATGAGTATAAATATTAATAGCTAACTACCTTTGGGCCAGTGGCAGGCAACCGAACAATGTGGTTTATATTATTGGTGATGGTGTGGTCCAGGCCTCGTGCTAGGTTCCAGGGTTTAATGATCCAGTGGTTATCCTCTCCCCTGTAAATGAAGCCTATTAAAGTCACCCAAATGCTCCTTCTGACGTTAAGTTTCAGCATTTCTTATTAATGCAAAAGTTAGCCCATATCCACCGGGCCATGCCTATAGATGTCATAACAAACCTAGTCATCAGGCCAGAGAGATTTCTAATGCCATCATTAACAGATTAAAATAAAAATCTGGTTTAAAAGTCTGATTCCCAAGTACTGCCTTAATTCCTTTATTAGCCATGTTTGGTTTATCATATTTCCTATCATATCAAAACACTTTGTGGAATCCAGATCTGTATAAAAGTTTCACATAACAATTAAATTCTACTATAAGTTACTCACCAATCTTTTAAAAACTTACCGCTTTTCTCTCCTCTGAAAGAGCGAAACAAACTTCACAAGCTCCCTTTTTAAGCAATAAGTCACAGGAAGCCAAGAGGGTCCACTTGTTTCCTTCTCCTCACTCTTTTCTTGGTCTGCAGCCCTTCTGCACACAATGGCCAGGAGGTCCTTCACAGTTATCAAGTGCTCACAGGGGAACTGGTTTACTCGACAGTGTGGTTTTTCACGAAGACCCCTGGAAGCATAAGGTGTCTTTGGCTGAAGGGGGTTTGGTTATGGCAGTACTAATATCAAAAGCCTCGAAAGCAGTGTACTCCTACTTAAGGACTCATCTAGGTTATATAAAATGAAGAATGATCTTTATATATATCTATTTTACATGTAACATTTATGGGACAGATTTCCTACAGTAAAAATTATATATATATATTGATTTATCAAACATGCTGACCTCAAACATTTACCTCATCCTATTCCTATAACTTTTCAAATAATTTAGTGTGGCCTAAAAGTAACAAAAAGCAGCACCTACTCACTTGTAATCTTTGAAGTGTGTGACAAGCCAAAGAATGTCGGCCTCTTCCGCAACATCCGTTACCACAAAACGGCTGTCGGTAAGGTAGTCCCTAACATACTCGTACTCAGCAAATACCCGCAGCGGCCTATCCTTTGGGAGGTCCGCCACGACAGAATCTGGGTCTGGAAGTGTCTCGCTAATGTGTCCGGACTGGGAAGGGTGGGAGAAATTACAAGTTAAATACTTTCTTTTTTTTGGTGAAGAGCATTATGTGCAAGTCTTAATCACAATTTGGATTACTGAGTTTAGATAAAGTAATTATAATGGTTGTTTTCTTCTTATGTTCAAATATCAATACATATTAATTTTGTATTCAAAGTCACATTATGAAAAAGAGTAGCTACATAAATAAGTGAACATTATTGTTTTACCAAAACAATTACCAAAACACATTTTACAAAATATGAATCAAAATATATTTGATCAAACCATATTCCTATAATGCTTGAGGATTGAGAATTCTACTGTAGCAGAGGAACTCCCAAAAATATTTACCATTTCTGTTGATTTTCATATTGTTTCCAGAAAAGAAACACAATTGTTTCATTGTCCCTTATCTTTAATCTAAAGCATTTTTCCAACATCAATATAAAGCAAACTTTCAACAGACAGACAATATCATTTAAAATTTCAACAGGACTGTTCATTATTACAAAGGGTCTATCATAGTAGCTTTACTAATACTATATGGTATTCTCATTAATAT